ACACACACACACACACACACACACACACACACACACACACACACACACACACACACACACACACACACACACACACACACACACACACACAGGTGCTGGAACAGAGGGACACGTGGACATTCACATCTTCTTACAACCACCGTGTGTATTTAGAGATGTTAAGGCCATTTAACATGTCAGGAGTTAATCAGCTCAGAGGCCTGTGCTGCTGTTAGCCTGAGCTGAGAATACACTCATCCCAGGGTTACTGTGTGTAGAGCTGAGGGAATTAGGACAGCGCCAGAGTGTGAATGAACACTGTGAGTGCTGTACCTGGTATCATGCTGTGCAGGCTCTTGATATGCTCCTGGGTAACTCCGCTCTCTGTGCACACCTTGTCAATGAAGCGCGCGATGAACCTGACAACAGAGTTTGCCACGTCGCTGCTCTCCGAGTCCTCAAACCCACTCTCGGTGTCGAAGCTCTCTGCCACGCTGCCAGCGATGCTGTAAAACGTACATGACAACACAGTGAACATGAGACAGGCCAAGCCACTATGTCTGGTTGCAGAATGAGATCACACAGTTAGATAGATCTGAAGAAGCACTTTGATGGAAACCAGTAAAAATGAGAGCAATTGAAAGCCTGGCATGAGATGCTTTGTTCTGGCCCGTGAGGCAGTTAATAAGAATGTCATGTCAGCAATTCATTTTATCTGTGATGAACTGAAATAACAGCAGAACAAATTAGTAGACTGGCATGTCCTTCAGAGTGGTCCCTTCTGGCTGGATGCCTGTCAGGTTCATGGTCAGAGTAAAGGAAACATGCACGTTGCTGTTATATTTCTGACAAGCATCATGGTGAGAAGCAGTTGCAGAAGGTAGATGTTAAGGACAACACAGTGTGCCTAGTTTCCCAGGATGTGCTCGCCGTGATGAAAACGCCGATCTCAAGCCGGAAACTTGCAGCTGCTGCAACATGTTGGATGAAGTTCACTCTCTTCAGCAGAGTTTGGCTGCATAATAATAAAATAACCACATTCTGACAGTGATGATGTTGCACAGGCAGGTTTTGTGGTGAGTAGCTCAGAAGGATATATAAAGCGATTTTTCAAAATCTTTGTTGAATTTTCCAATATCTTAAACTATTTATTATGACAAATACATAATTTGATTTATTACACCACTTCCTTTTTCCATTTTACAAGACAATATAGAACTTAAACGAGAAGCAACAATCACATGTAGGATTGTTTGGCCTTGGCAGACGTATGCACTCGACTGTGTGCAATTCTAGTTTAATTAATAATAACTTAATATGGCCCTGGGCAATGTTATGGAAACTGAAATGGTCTTTGATAGAAAAAAGGTTCCCCTCCCCCCTCAGCTTACTGTTAATGATGATCAATCGCGTCTATTATTTGAGAGGAATGTTTCACATGAGACAGTGATGCAACCTTTCCTGTGGATGTGCAAATACAAGCACGTGATGAAATCCAAATGTCTTCTGTGAGAAACAAACAAGTCTGGGGCAAAAACTGAAAGAAAAGGATAGGAAATTTCCACACAAACAAATTCTTGGCCACAGTGTTTCTGACATTTCATTAGAGAGAGTGAGAGAAAAATAAAGTAGTATCACTGTGTTCTTGTGGCTATTTGGAAATATTTGAGAGATAAAGAACAGAATGTTTATAAGTCATGTACTGTACATAATAAGGATAAAAAAATTGAATAGTATCACTGTGTTCTAGTGTCGAGTATCAAACCCTGAAATTTGGAAGAAGGTCTTTTAGGTGCATGCCTTGATATTCTAATATTCCGGGGGATAATCGCTGATTCATTTATTGCAACAGTTACCGAAGAGCACAGGAAATCACTTTTAGTGCTATGTTGTTTAGCTTGGGTGAGTGCAGTGTTAGTCATCTTAAAGATGCCCTGAGGGGTTTAAACCTCCCAACAGAAGTAGATGAGCCTCACTCTGTGTTGTGCAGTAGTGATGGAAACCCACAGGATGGATGTGGGACGGAAACGTTCCATTTGGCTAAATTGGAAGGTATCATGTAGACTGTGAGTTATGCCACATCCACCCACAGACTTATCATCACCTTATTAAGAGAGGAACACATGCTCCCAGACCATGAAACCTTACCTCGAGGTTTCCTCCATGTAAGACTGATTGTTCTACCTGACAACCCTGAATACGCCAGGAATATGTTCTGATGCAGTCAGTTTGTTATGTTGCAGGATGGTCAGAACATGTGAAAGATGTTACACAACAGTAAATCACAGGTACATGCTCCCTCTGCTGTTGCTCCCCCGACCTGTTTGTGACGATGCTGTTGCTGCCGCTCTCCCAGTCGGCGGCGGGGGGGTTGCGCAGCAGCTTGTTCTTGCTGGTGTCCAGAGGCACCAGCAGGTATACCATGAGGCTGGCGTAGTGGATGGCCTGGCTGAACACCGTGCTCTCCTCGTTCTTCACCAGCTCCTGCTGCTTCTCCTTGCTCAAGTTGGGCCACGAACGCAGCTGCTCTGCTGCCAGGTCCATGGCTGTCTGCTCGTCATCTCGGCCCACTGCCGGCACAGCGGTTGCATCCTGGAGAGTTCAAAGTTAAAGCAGTTTGAAAGAATTGATTAGGCTTGTGTTTTAAGTGCTAGCCACAAGAGCGTTGACTTGCACGGTGACAGACAATTTGATAATTATTCTCAATAAATAAATCTAAATAAATGTGCAAATTGTGTTCCATAAATTATAGTGTGACCACCGCAAGAATGATCTCGAGAACTGCTGCAAGATCCCAGTCCCCAGACTGAAAACCACAGCACATCATGAAAACTGTTGTGCGTGTCAGAAAATAATTAAACATTTTAAACACAATTTCCTATAGCCACAAGGAAACATATTTAAATGTTTACTTTTGTCCAAAAGTTTAATATCATAAAATAGAAAGAATGGCAGCAGATAAAATGCTAGAATTTGAATGCAGTATTTACTTAAATAATTATTTAAAAAAGGATTTAAAATCAAAGGGTTAACCAGACTTCATATGACGTCTCACACAATATTCACACTGGTACATTTTTTAATATAGTATTACCTTTAGCCTGGCAGTGATGCCACCTTTTTCCTCGGCCATGCTCAGATAAAGGGCTCGTATCTGGCTCTGGACCTCACTGTAGAAAGTGGCTTCCCAGAACTGCTGGTTGGTCCAGATGGGATGGTCCTGGATGCAGGTGTAGGCAAACTGGTTTATGCCAGCAGCCAATTTCTGGAAGAAAAAACCCAGTTCACACAGTCAGCACTACATAAAAATCAACTTTAAACAGATGAACAGAACAACCTCCACTCTGCCTTTTAATAGAAGTTTGAGTTGGGCAGTTTTTTTTTTTAATTTCACAAATTATCCAAAAGCTGGTTTGTACTGTTCGAATTCATTACACGGGTAGTTTTCAATCTAAAGAATTTGACTTTAAAAACTCAGAAAATGTGTTGAAGAACAAAGTGGGGAAAATAATTTTCATTTACATTTCAATTTCTTTGATTTTATGTGTTCGTCGTCTCCCATCGGAATAGATGTGAACCAGATGTTGACTTGTTAAGGGCCAGAAAGTCAGTAATACTGTTAGTGATACAGTTTCTGGCGTCAAAATGAAATTGTACACTGACTACACAATAAAAAAACCCTCAACAAAATAAAGAAATATACACACATTACATTGTCAACCCCAGTGAGTACAGACAAACTTTGCCAAGGTTTTAATACTTAACTGTATAAACATCAGAGGTTACTTAGTAAAAATGTCAGCACCTCTAACCTTGCTACTGTAAAAGAAGTCTCTCTGTTATTTAAATTCTTAATTTCTCCCTGTGATGATAACTGCTCCTGTCCAGAGTTGAAATATCCTCTGCAACATATGTGCTTGGGTCTTAATTACACAAAGGATCAACATACAGTTGTTACAGTTTATTTCTCACTGGGTATGTGCGTCAGTAAAGGGTCCGAGCTGAAGGGTCACTGTGAACTTCTTAAGAGACGGAGATAACCACGCCAGCCTCAGTATTCAAAGTGAAATCAATTATTCTCTGTGGGTCGTAACATTTTAACAGATAACAACCCCTGGTGGAGCGACAGACCCCTCCTCCTGCCCACTTTGTTTGGAAACTGTTGTTTTCATTAGCGAGGACCAAAGAGTAAAGCAAAGTTTCATAGCACAAATAACATGGGCTGAACCATGAGCGCAAAGTGCCAATAAATGACCGTCATTCATCAACCATCCACATCCCTGCAGAGGCTGATGGCCATGTGTACGGTTCAAGCCTCTTTATTAGATTAGCTTCTGATTTCTCTCCCCCCTGAGTCTGACACAATTCAGTGGTGTGCATTATCACTTCTGAGTTTTCCTTTGAAAGGAGAGAATTGGAAGAGTAACTGCAATTATAACAGGCAGAACAGCTCTATTTCCACTGTGATGGGCCAGAAGCCAAGAGAGAGGAGGGCTGGGATGACAGAGAGCTAATGCCCCTCGTCATGTCTGGTTCGTTGTTTTTAATCAGTCAACCATTGTTTTTTGTGATGCTGAAATATTCTGTGTCTGATCCAGTCCTATAAATATGATTGTTACTGAATGACTGAATGAATTTGCTCAAACAGTTTATTTAATGTCATCATCGGGGCGTTCACAGGCTTTGCAACTTACTTCATTTATTGAAGATTTTCCCCCTTTTCAGACACTTTTAGCAACTTTATCCAACTTTTTGGACAAACCTGAGCTAACTTTCATTAAGGAGACTTCCCACCATCGATACACTTTTTTTTTACCTCCACCAGGGTAGTTTTCATGTGTTTATTTATTTGTAAGCAAGATTACACAAAAACTACTGGACGATTACCGCAAAAACTTGGTGCAAGGATGTGGTAAGAATGTGGGTCCACAAAGAAACCTTTTAATATTTGGTACAGATTGGGATCTGATGAAATTTTATCTGAGACTACAAAAGTCCATGTTTGGTTATGCTTGGACACGGTTAGTCTGTTAGTTTGAAAAACCCAATATTTCAGTTGCCATTATAAACATATAGTTAGTCCTATATTACAAATCCATCTCTTCCTTCCATCTGAATCACTCTCACTTTCACCTGAAATGTACAAGAAGTCTGTTGAAGTATCCAACTCTGCAGTAGATCATGAGGCAATATGAGGATGACATTGAGTTTGGTTAGATTAATAGTTTTCTCTCTAGAAACAGAGATGAATACGTTAGCTATGCTATGTTTAGAGCAAACAGAAATACCCTCTTTATTGAGTATGGGAATCAGGCCAGTGAGATGCAGGATTGAATGACAAGGACAAATCTGCTGAGACAAGAAATGCTTTGAAGAGAGATTATAATGCTCCCAATGCTGCCACTCCTTAAGCTATCAGAGAGCAGACTGTAGAATACATGGACTGAGAGGTCAAACTTAAAGTGGGCCCTATGTTTATAAATGTGGGTGTGTAAAGGAATGATACTTTATCAATCGATCCAGTAAATCGCCTCCTACAGCAGCCACGACACGATGGCGTTGGCTCAGTTTTATCTTATGGGGCAACTTCGTCAGTCCCTGATATGTCCTCTTAAAGTTATTTTGTCCTTGGCAAAGACCCAGACTAAAAACTAGAGCCCATTATTGGTGAAAGAAATTGCTTTTAGTGCCGCATACGATTATAGTCAGCCACTTCTGGCGTGTCATGGCTGCCTGCGGAGACAATCTATTAATACGATTCCAAAAGTTTTTGTATACAATTCATTTACACACCCACATTTATAAGCATGAGGCCCATGTTGAAAAATACCAGCATTCCCCTTTAAAGGATGGACCTGAAAAAAGCTTGATACTATTCTCTAATTTTTCTGAGTTTGTTTGTTTTTCATGTCTCAACAGATGTCGTGTGGGTGTGTGTATATAGTTGTGTGTGATTCGTCTATGTTGTCTTTACACAGCCTGATCGTACTTTTCAGACTTGTCAGATATGTGCAGGTCATTTTGACCGAGGTCATCGCTTCCAAATATGATAATACATGGGAGCTTACAGAGGCATGCACAAGACAGATGGTCACAGAGGAGGACTGGGAAGGAGAAAAGAAAACAGGGAAGAGGGAGGAGGAAGGGGAAGTAGCAAGTGTAGATGAGGAGGGAGTATACAACCGTCACAGCCGTCTGACCACGTGACTAGAGAAGAGGAGGACTGCATGGGTGAAAAACAAGTGGAAAAAAAGAGACAGACAGGAGACAATGGTCTGAACAGGTCAGAGGAGTGAGGTAATCAGGATTTGGGATGTTTTGAACTTTTGGACATGATTGTAAAGAGTATGATAGACTGTGACCTCCATACATCAACCAGAGAGGCATACAGCAACACACATGTCAAGTGTGTCTCGCAGAGAATGAGAGATGGTGCTGCTCTCACTGAAAGATATTCTGTATGTGCTATGTCACCAGCCTTTGGGCAGCAACATTTTAAGTGCTTTGGGAGAATTCATAGAATCTCTAAATAGCCAAAACAGTCATTAATTTGAGGACATGTGCCTTGTGGGAATGCACATCTGACCTGTACACAATCCATCTCCTCATCTTTACAGTTCTACGTGAGCCACTGCACCGTGGAGGAAAACTACATGTCCCCTGAAACCACGAGAAAGCCTGCATTCAAACAACACGTATTTACACTATTTGGTCACGTAAAACAAACACAGAACATCATGGTGAATGTCAGACTAATAAACAAAGACATCATGGTATCCATAGGCCATGACTTTGTAAAAAACATGATGTGCGGGTAACATAAATGTTCTCAAACAAAGTAAACATGGATATGGTCAAGAGCGGGACATTTCTGATATACACAGAGTTCACCCAGTACGTCATTTTCCTCACAAGGACGTGGTGCAGAGCAGTTTGACAGAGCGTTCTGCCAAACCCCCCCCCATGAATAAACTATGGCTGTAAGAATGCTAACATCCAAGTGTGCTTGTTGTGCAAGTAATCCAGAATTGCATTTCTGTTTTTCACTTGCTGCTGTATCAAATCTGTGTTTCCCCCCCTGGACAGAGCCATTCACTCTAGCGACACATTCAAATGTCAGAGGAAATATCATGCAGGTTTCAAAGCATGATAACAACAGATCCACATGTCAGTGACACCTGCTCATCTCCTGATAAACCTACTCCTCGCTAGATAGTAAATGCCAGGGCAACAAAATGTAAAACCTCACCTCTAACACAGGGCCACCGTGCAAAGGTTGTGTTTAAATAGGCCAAATGACTCCATCCGTGCACAATCATGTCCCAAAGATATTTTGCAAATTCGCTCACATTTCCTTCTGTCTGAAATGTTAACAAATATATTTCAAACAGTGTTCCATAAACACCTGTCCCAGGGAAACATTCACAAGGGGTCGAGTTGGGGGGAAACCAAATGTGGGTCAACTGCATAACCTGCTCAGTGTCAACATATGGCTAGCAACGAAACACAGTCTGTCTCTATCCGGCACAATCTGGGAGCAGATGGTTTCAGATCAAGGGAACTTCCCACATTCCCCGGCCTGCAGAATTATGAGCCATCGGGACGGGAACACTGTACACATGAACACAGCCAAAGTCTGGTCACTAATACCAAACAGGGACTTGAACAGCGTCACTAGCGGTATTAAATGTGCAGTGGCTTAAAATGTTTGGTAGGCAACAGCAGTCAAAAACAATTATATTTAGAAGATTGAATTGATTGAAAAGATGTGCAGTAAATCAAATGGGCCACTACCTCTTCTCATCCTGCTTATGATACTGGTTCTTGATTCAGTATACAACATTAATTTTGAGCAAGTCGTTGAATTTATCCACTGCACAAACAACCTGCTCACGTTCCTAAAGATATTTACAAGTAGCAGAGCCTTCCTTAAACAATGATGCAACAGCACTGCACCATTATACTTAACGCCATTAAACCACTTGCAGAGTACGGCTGTCATGCACGGTTAGTAGTTTATGTGAATATAAGTCTAATGAAATATGTCCTACACCAGGTCTGCTATGTGAGATTAGGGTTCATCACAGATACAATTCTTCATTAAAACATCTAAAAACGACTTGAGCTATGTTTTATTTTTTGTTGACTTTTGTACTTACATTATCCACAATATTTTCAACATTGTTTAAACCCAGTGAAATCCCAAATTTCAGTCAAGGTAATGGGACATTTCATTTTGCTCTGTTTTTAACTGAGACACATCCGTCAATGCTCTAACTTCCCAGGCAAATGGTATACGAGGAGAGAAAGTTGGCCAGTTACAGCAAGTGGGCTGCTCTTTACTTCCACTGCAGCTTCACGATGTCATCAAACTCGATCGTTATTGGTTTGATTGAGAGACCCAGTGTGGCAGCACACTCAACACTGTCCTTCTTTTCTCTGGGATTAAGACAAATCTAAATGACTCAATTACGCTCACATTATTTTCAGTGACTTTCATGGTCTTGTATGCTCAGACTCAAACACACTGGTTGATCCTTAAGTGTTAACAACTGTTTAAAAAACAGATACATTCCAGCTACTGTAATCTGAGTACATGCAACTCTTTCAATCTCATAAAGTTCTTCACAAAAAATTCATTTTAAATAATACAGGCTGAGGATGGAGGGAGAATGATGAGGTGGAATATTTTAAATACTTAAAATGACTGTAAAAGCAACTGCCTGCTATCTAAATGCAGCATGTTGTGTAAACTGCAGTGTTCTGCCATCATGTTATAAACATTTAAAGCTAGTTTTCATATTACTCAAATGTGCACATTAAAGAGAAGGTTGTTAAACACATTCAGAAACAAGTGATGATCATTTGTGAGCTGTCAGGATCATGCACACTGTTTTTCTCACACTTCTACCCCATGATCTTTGCACCACTAAACTCAAGATTAGAAATAATGTCATCAGGTTCCCTCCTGACCCATCTTTACTTTTCACCCGTTGAGGGAGGCAGAGCTCATTGACACCAGTTCCACTCATCTGAAAGCATCAGTGAAAAATCTGTTGCATTCTCAAAATATTTTTTCTTCTCAGCAGCTGCCAGCGACGCACAAGAAATCATTTATAATGTTCAGACAGAGAAAAGCAGGAAATCACGCCATTGTGTAATAATAACTATGACTTCTGTGGTATATACTTGTAACAAGGTAAAAGAAGTAAGTGATTCAGTTTCAGTGTTGGTGGCCAACACATACAGTTGATCTAAGAGGGCTACATCTCTCTGGGGCATGTGAACTGGATGAGTCATGTGGTTTTGGAGATCGGGCCAGGTCCCAGTCCTGCCCATCCGGGTATGGCACCGGTACCCAACAAAAAGCCAACGCGGACAGTTGTGTCTGTCGCCATGGCAATGAGCAAGCTGTGGGGACACAGTGGCGGTAAACAAGGCAGCTACCCAGTGTTGATAATGTGGTCTGGAAGCAGAATGCCATGGCTGGACTGTGAGACTTCCACATTTAAATGCTTTGGGATCAACAAAGGTCAAAGGCTTGAGAGAAATGTCCTCCCTCTAACTGTTCACTGCCAACAAGCTTCTGATAACTGAGGCCCCACCACAGGCGACTAAAATATCAAAACAATACATTCGCTCATGTTCCTTCTCGACATGAACACAGAACAGTGTTTATAAGAATCCCTATTATTTGTTTTTGAACGACTGGGGACCATTATAAGTAATGAGCAGGACATGTCGTTCATATACTATCTATATATCTATATACACATATATAGGCCCTGTCCAGACCTGGTATTAACATCAGCATCCTGAATGTGTCTCCCAATTGTGACCTATTGTGAGCATTTCTCACTTTCCTGCTCTATTTGCAAATAATCATGTGTGTTTGTGAAGACCGAACAACGTTGTTTTAACCAAGTCTGAGTTTAAAGATGTGTTCAATAGAGAGAGAGAGAGAGAGAGAGAGAGAGAGAGAGAGAGAGAGAGAG